ATGCCAAATATGTAAATTTGTGTTTCAGCTATTTTCATACGGACTTAAACATACTTCATTAAGTCTACTAAGCAGGGGTGTAGAAGGTGTTTAATAGGGCCAGCCCAGTAATGGTCTTGGACCAAAATAAAGGGGGCAGAAAGTCAAATAAATGGGGGCAGAAGGAGATGTTTTTCCAGACGCCAAGAAAAATTAAATGCCCCCCACCCCGCAAAGTGTGTCACTGAGAGTTTAAAACAAAAAATATTCTTGTGCAAATATCGGTGTATTCACCATTAATACTAGTTATTAAAATGCAGCAGTTGCTGGATTAGTGCAGTTCAAAGTGGAGTGCATCAAATTAAACAATATTAACATAAAGGTGAGACGTGTGATCCCCCCCCCCCCCCCCCCCACACACACACAGCTGGAAATACTCCTAGGGGAAACACTGGTAATATCAGTCAAAATACTGTGGCAGAAGTGATCCAAGCATTTAAGAAAGATGGAAGTGCAATCATCTTATATAGTCGTCCAGGCCATCCACAGAATTGAACAATTTGACATTTTTGTGTTTTTTTCCCCCACTTTTAGAAAAACCAAAAGTTGGCGTGAAACGGAGGCCATGGAGCACTGAGGAAAAGGAAGCAATCCAAAAACATCTGAAACTGTTTGTTAAAGAACGCAAAGTCCCAGGAAAAATGGACTGCCTGTCATGTATTGAGAAAGAGAAAATACTTGACAAAAGATCTTGGAAGGATGTAAAAAATTTTGTGTATAACACAATTGTTTCAGTCAAGAGAAAGGAGGCATGTAGATTCCTTCACTTCTGAACATGAACGAAAAGCCAAAAATTTTAGAAGCTGTCCCAAGTTATGTGTTCCTGTTTTAGACCATTTGTCAGATTTCGTGTATTACACATTACATTTACATTTAAGATGGAGGCATCTAGATTCATTCACTTCTGGACATCTATTTTGTTTTCTTCTTTGAGAAGGCTGTTGTTAAAGTCAAAGAAAATATATTAGTAAATGTTCAGTTACTGAAATAAAATGTTTGCTTCAGTAAAAATTGCTGTTTTTGAGTGTTATTAACATTAAAAAAATATGTGCATATTACATCCACATTATATATTTTTAGGAAAACATGGGAGATGTGGATAAATTACCTTTTTCTGATTAATATTTAATTACATTAAATTAATTTACATATCTTAATAAACCTTGTGGAATTGCAGCTTAAATGGTACGGACAACTAGAAAGTACAGTTTAACAATCAGCTGGTACACAGTGAGATAAACAATTGCAGAAATGACTGTTATGTCCTTCCAGATGGCAGAGCTGAGAGTCGGTGGTCTCTGGAAATGGATAAAATACGTCTAAAGGTATAGCGAATGATGTTTCTGAAGAACCGCCCTCTCCTTGTTTTGAAAAAAACTGCACATGAGAGAACGCCCAGTTATCCTCTTAACAAGTGGCTGCCGATCTTGCAGCCAACTGCTTCTAGCAGTAAACTAAAATGAATTTCTCCAAATAGCATGCTGAACGTTAGCTTACCTGTAGAGCAGAAAACCGGTGACAGAGGTGTCTGCGGGAAGCCCAACCTTCACTTTGCGCATGCGCAGGAAGTGAAAACTACCCAGCAACGTATGATGTACGACAATGGCCTTGTGAGAATGGTTCACCAGATTGATTGACAGGTTTGCGGACCAGTGGTTTATGTAATCCACCCGGAAGAAAAAGATTGTTTGCTATACCTTTAAGATGGAGAGTTTGTTCAGTGGTCTCATGTCCTTCACAAATATACACCTTTATAGGTTTGTTACAAAGATTTTACCTGCATCTGTAATGTTTATTAAGTCTTCTATAATCTGTGAATATATATCTTTTCCCCCTTCAGACTGGGGTAGAAGACCCTTTTATGTATTAGGATTTTCCTGCAATCCAGCTTTTTATTTAGATACACACCCAAGTTCTATTAACTCACAAAAATCTCCATTTCTATTTTTGTGATCTGTTTGGTAGTTATAAATGTATGCATAATATTTTCTTTGCAAGCATGAATTAATATAATAATTCAACTGTTAAATCAAATAACACTTTATTTATGGGTCATATTTTTTGTTTTATTTTTACATTTAAACTGAACATTTATACATTGTAACTAGATTTTATATAAATTAAATGGCATTTTAATAATTATCATTTTCAATGGCATATTTAAAAATGTTGCAGCAAGTTCAACCCAGAAAAAGCTCTGCTAATCACTTCATTACTTTTCCCCGCCCCCAGTCCACCTCTGGACCCGCCCCTTTAAAAGGTCCTCACTTTGATGGTTAAAAACGTAAAAAAAAAAAAAATTCCCTTTGTTTTACTGGTTTTCACAGGTGATAACTTGAATAAGGACACCATCTAGTGTTCAAATCCTATAAACATTCATTTCTAAGTGTAGCAGAAAGGGTGGTCCTCACTTCACAGGTAAATTTACTCGGTCCTCACTTCAGGGGCTAAACCGGAATGTGTGTATTTGTGTGTGTGTGTGTGTGTGTGTGTGTGTGTGTGTGTGTGTGTTAGGCCACGTGTGTGTCTTAGAAGGACTGAATGATGTGTCAATCTGATCCACGACCTCGCTCACTGATGAGACTGTCAGCTGTGCAGCAGTAGGAAGATCGCTGCTGTGCCTTTGAAGCCCCCTTATTTAACTTCTTTCCAGTCAAATTAGGAGCTGATGCCGCCTGCGCTCAGTGTGGCTGAAGCTTCTCACGTTGACGTAATGTCAGTTAAAATTAAGTCCACCTCTGCTCCCAAGATCGAGAACTGACGAAGCTCCTGGGTGAAACAGAAAAAACTACGATTGGAGTAGATGCTTTTTAATTTCTTTTTGTTTATCGATGTTAGTTCTGTTGGCAGTATCGTCTTCCTGTAGAATTTTTCATATCGAATCAAGAGCTGTGGATGTAAATAAGGCACAGAACATAGACGGCCTTTGTTGGGTCAGGCAGAGTCTTCAGGTTCACGGTAACAACGTACATCAAGCACAGCAGCTTTATGTTTTAATAGAAGCGGAACGGACAAAGATTTTTTTCCTGGTCTTGATGGTTCAGACTTGAAGAGAAACTCAAGCGCAGAACTTCTGGGAACTCCCTTTGTGTGAGACACAGCACCAGTAGGGTTCTGTCCAGGTGAAGTGATGCTGGCGTCCTACTCGTAGCCCTCGTTTGCCTGGTGGTGTTGGTGCACCTTCAGGTACGGTATCCTCGCTTCCGTCAGTGGGCCCTTGGACAGCTGTAGCTACATTGTAGTTCATCACCACTAGCGTGTGAATGTGTGTAAGTGGGTAATTGAATGGATGTGTTGTAAAGTGTCTTGGGGGGTTATAGAACCCTTGAAGCTGAAAGTAAACTGAAACCAGAGGTGTGCAAATAAAATCCTTCCTTTTTAAAACTCCGATAGAGAACAAAGGTATTAGTTCTTGCAGAGTTTATGTAGACCTAAAAGGCATTGGCTCCCGGTTTTGTGTGACAGATCATGAGAGAACAGTTGCTCAGAGCAAACGCGTAACTTCAGTAGCTAATGGTGGCTTCTCACCATTTTCCCAACGGGGGAGTGTGACGGTAGCCAACTGGCAATGTAGGACCCTACCAAACCAGCTTGGCTTGTTCTTCAAGAATTTGAAGCAGGATTGGCCATGTTGACTTTCAGCCCAACCACACTATTGGCATCATTCCAGCGCGGGGAGATCTTCCAGCTTGTAGCTGAGTCTGTTGATGTGATGATGTGAACATAAATGAGGGTAGCAGAGTCGTGGCTGCCTTCACACTCCATGAGGGTTTCTTAATTTGCTGCAATCAGGCAAAGAAAGTGAGATCCTTGAGGGTTACTGGTATTGACTGTACCTTTAAGAATAAAGAACAAAAACAAATAAAAAGTTAATCATGTGTAGCCAGGTGAGGCTTTACGTTACAGAAGAGACCGACAGGTCTGAAGCTCACCATGAATCTGGAAATCACAAAATTTATCATAAGAAGACAAATAAAAAGGAAGCAACATGCAGGTTTTGATCTTCTGCTGTCAAAATTCAAGTTTGAAGTATTCCTAGCATCAAAGATGTTCTCATTAAAGCACTCCACTTCTCTTTTCTGCTGTCCTTTTCCACGTTTTCCCCCCTTCTCAGTTAAACCTCCCACCATTCTCTCTTCTCCTCTGCCAAATGCATTTCTCTCTGGTCTTAGATGAAACAGAAAGTGTGGTTAAATAATTCCCGATCAGAGTTCTGAGCTCCATGCTGTTCCTCACTGCTTCATGTGCCGAGCGTAGGTAACCCTCTCATTCTTCATCTTGTGCCACAGATTGAAATAATACCATGCTGCGGGATGCAGAATTGGAATGATTCACCTTCAGTCAAGGATAGTTTGAGCGATATCTGTGATGTGAAAATAAGCAATACCCACAAGAATAAATAAAGGTTTAGGATGAAATAATTACCGTACGATTTTCTCCAGCAATATTCACTGTCTGTGATTTTTGATCATGCTTGGCATTTCAGTGGCTATTTTTAAGCAGACAGTAAACTTTTCAAACAAAAACTTTTGTATCGTTGCATGAAAGATTTGAACGCTTTGTCATTTAAAAAATAAATTGCATATGAAAAATACCAAATCAAGGAATTCAAATAAAATAAAGTTATGACCATAAAATAAGAAAAAACACTTTTTACCTATGTTACTTTACCTTTACTACCTTTTTTGTACAATTCTGTGGCTAAGGGAGGGGCAGCGATTTTCTAGGGGTGGCCATGACCACCCCTGGCCACCCCTTGGGGGCGCCATTGCTTGAATCTCCAGTTAAAGATTAGTCTGCTCATTGAAAGTTAAAGTTTTATCGACAAACCTTGAGTTTGAACGTGTGTCCTGCTCTGATAAGCCATCACCCGAACTCTTCCATGGGATTGAACGCCAAATAGAGATGACTAATTGATTGTCATTACAAACGACGTGAATTTGTTTTGGGTTTAATCTCAGGTGATCCAGATCAACTTTGAGGAGTTTGACCTGGAGATAGCGTACGACACGCTAACTATCGGAGATGGAGGGGAGGTGGGAGATCCTACAACTATTCTACAAGTGTAAGTTTTACATCGCTCTGCACAGAAGTTTTGTTATTTTGTTTAGAGTAACAATAAAATTTCAGAATCTGTCAATGAGACAAACTTTGAGATTTGAAATACCATAACATCCATATAAACAGATGTGGCACTCCCTTAAATAAATACAATACAACTGATTTTAGTCCTCAAATAAGAACATTTTCTATAATTATAACTGAGCTCTTTCACTTTCACACTGACCAGTTGCCCTCATACTGTTGGTCTGTTTTAGCCTCCTATTGTTTTATTGTATGTGAAAATGTTCAAACACTGCTTCATTTATTTGGAAGTCTTATGTAACACCAGGTACTCCAGAATACTTCATCTACTTCGACATAACTGCGTATTCAGATCATAAAGCGTCAGGCTACATCCTGTGTAGCTGTTTTTTAGACATGAACTGTTCTTGACTTCAGAAATCACTTTGAAGTTTCTGAAAGGAAAATGAATGTCGACTTTTTATGAACAGATTTTGGTTTGTTGATGTTTTTTTAGCTTGAGTTTTCAAATAGAAGAAAGAATGTGAAGTAAGGACGTGCTTTGTGGCTCCTGTTCAGAATGTTCCAGCAGGTTTTTATGAGGACAGTGGTTTAATAGTTATGTCTTTTATTCTCCAGCCTATCAGGAAGCTTTGTCCCTGACCTCATCGTCAGTATGACCCACCAGATGTGGCTGCACCTTCAGTCGGATGAGAGCGTTGGATCTATTGGGTTTAAGATTAACTATAAAGGTAAGTGCTGAGTGTGCACTTTCAACAGGAAAAGGAGAGAAGGGGGCAATCACTGCATTTGGGTAAATGGAAGGAAAATACTTAGTAGGTAAAGGGCTGAACTTTGAGTCAACTTAAACTGCCTTGATTATAGTTCCTGTGCATTAACTAAGGAGGTTTCTCAATGTCAAGGCACTTGGCCTTGCGAGGCGATGTCTTGCGAGGCCAGGCTCCTTGCTTACGAGGACACTGTCCTTCCTTGGTCAAAGAAAATGGTTAAATGGAACAGACTTGCATCACGTGACCGCAGCTTCCACTGCGGTCACGTGACGTCATGTGACACGGGAGATAACGCTATATTTTATACAAGTTAAGTTTCAATATGAATATATAATGAGCCTTTTACTTTTTGAATTGTGTATATGTTTATTAAATTAAATATATAAGTGAGTTACTAACCGCTAGCCACTGAAGCTGCAACTACTAAGCAACTAACCAACAATAGATAATTTACTTTTAAACTTGAAAATTGTCCCCGAAGTAGCTGCCTGCTTCTGATCCCGCTTCTTTCTGAAAATACCACGGTGTGTTCTGGGTAATTTTTGACCAAGTCTAGGCTACAAGACACCTCCCGTGTATCCTTGCTCAGCTAGCTAAACGGCTAGCTAACGGAGAACACGCCTCAGTAGAACATGAACATTGGAAGACGTCTTGGTGGCTCCCGATGACGTATCTCCTAGGCAACCTGGGCGGGGCCAAGAAATCAATGCAAGGTTCCTTGGCATTGAGAAACACCCTAAGTGTAGAAACCACAGGAAACAATTTTGCCCCCTAGTGGCTGGCTGCAGTATAAGAGTAGCACCTATTGGTACAAACTTGGAGGTAGTCGGAATATTATACTTTTTGTTTTGTTGCGGTGCTTCGTGAAATTTCAAATTTTTAATCATTGTCCAACAAACAGTGCTAAATATTAATAATACCTAGAATTATTTACAAACACGTTAAATTACCAATGTCATCAACCAGAATCTGACTGGCTTTAACCTTTGGAACCACAATGCCAGTGACGTTAATATTATTTACGTGGGTTGTAAAACATCCTTAGAATTGTTCGTAGGGCCTTGTTGCCAGAACTTTGAAAAATATGTGCAAAATGTGTGTCCCAAACACCTTGGACATCCAGAGCAATTCTCACTTTAAATTCAACAAAAAATAAAAAGTAAATAATGCACGAGAACTTTGGGGGGAGTTGGCAGTTAATAAAACTAAGTTGTGGAAATATGATGAGAAGTTTGCACAAAGTGGCGTAAGTAAGACACTTAAAGGTGTGGTTCACTCATTCAGTCAAAGCATCTGCAGTGGTCTCTAGTAGGAATGAATGCCTTGTAAATGGTTCTGGGGGGCTATACCGGTGCATCTGTTCTAGGAACTAGCTGAGACGCACATCACAGCTGAGCTTCAGACGGCAGTTTTTGGAGCCTTGTTTCCTGATATTTGGACATCTCACCTCGTATTGGATAACACAAGCCTGGAGGAGTTCTGCCATGTGGAGAAGTTGCTAATGCTAACAGATAGCTTATACTGCCGTTTCCTGGATGCTAAACCAACAACAGCCATCCCCATTGTGAGTCAAGATGGGTGTGTTACATAACAGTGGGACGTAGATCTGTCAGGCTTTTCAAACCCTAGAGTTTCACCATTTATTTTCTATCAGAAGCGAATGCAGCAGACAGGTGTAGAAGACTGTTTCAGCCTGCATGAAAAACTCAACGCGACAGATTATAATCAGAAATAAAAATAAAGTTAAACAAGAGGCCTTCGCAGCGCTTTCGCTGCTCGGGCCTAAAAAGATAGAAATGTTTTTTTTAGTGAACCACACCTTTAAAGACCAAGCATGTTGGTTTGGTGGTCTTTGGTATGATCCAACCCCAATCTCCCAGTCTCAGGACAGACATTCATAACACTAAATGAGCTGGTTGCTACTTCCTCGCTTGGCTAACACCTGACCTTTATCTTAATATGAGCTGAGAATAAAGTGTTTTTGCTGTTCTGTCAATTCAGCTCCCAGTGTACTTACAATATTAACCTTTCAGGTGTCTGCTGTTTGATAGATGTAGTCTTCGTTTGATCACATTCCATGAAACATGGTTGAGAGCTTTGCTGCACAAATTAACTTTGTGGGCCTCATTTAAGTGTCATCATCTGTGGATTTATTGCCATAATGAGGTCAGCGTGCAGAGTCGGGTAATGCAGTGAGCTTCCAGCGTGCTGTGACAGTGACATACTGGATTGCCCTTTACTGTTCTTCAGATGCAGTGCGTTCCAGTGATGGACTGGTGATGCATGATTAAAAGGAAATCATCTGAAAGTTGTTTTAATAGATTTGCAGTAGTGCTACAGTTCTTCGTCTTGTAAAGGCAGGAAATGATCCTGGAGTGTAAATCAAGCAGATAAAAAATAATTTTCAAAAACACCCAAGACGCCAGTTTAATTTAAAATAGCATCTGATTAGTAGCTCCATAATATTTACCCAAATTCTCATTGTTTATTTGTGTTTGTTTATTCAAAAGCAATTACCACACACCCACAGTTTTGTTTATTTATCTTCAGGTTAACAAGGTTTCATTGAGACGATCTGTTTTGCTTTTGCCGGTTTTATTGATCTGATTTTCAGATCAAACACACAGTAGAAGAGAGTAACTAACTGCTTTGGGCATTTGTTGTTTTTAGAGGTAAATTGTAAAGTATTACATTTACAGTAATCCCTCGCTACTTCGCGGTTCGTTCCTCGCGGATTCGCTCCTTCGCGGATTTTTTCTTTGGAGCATTTTTCAGGGGGAATTCGCAGATTTGCGGTATTTTTCACTGATTCGCGGTATTTTTCTATGCGAAATATCAAGAAATTCTTGTTTTTTTTAGTTTTATTACAAAAAGTGCATTTTATGATGAAATTGATGAAAAAAAAACAAGTAAAAAAAATTTTTTTCTTGAGTTTTACCCACAAAAAGAGAATGTGATCATACGATAATTCAATATAGTACTGTATGTCAGACAGGGCGGCTGGATTCGGGAGTTGAGCTTGTAGGGAGCGCGTGGTTTCACAGACGCGGAAGTGAGAGCGTCGGTGAAACGCCGGCTGATCTAGGAAACCCCCGAGCGTTCGAGCGTCAACGAAGTGACACGGAAATGCCGGGCTTTCCAGAAGTAAGTAAGATAACTTACTATGAGCTGATAGTTCGTTGGATTGATCGGTAGGTTGGAAACTCTGATCATGAATCTGAAGAAACGATGACTGAGTGGTGAGCTGGAAAGGCGACTTCCGTTTATAGCCGCGGTTTGTGACGTAGGTGCGACGTGGAGGGAATCCCCGCGAGGGGCATGCTGGGAGTCCCTACTTGGCGGATTTTCACCTATCGCGGCCAGGTCTGGAACGCATCTACCACGATAAACGAGGGATTACTGTACAAACTAACCGCCTCATTTAGTTGCACTTGGTTCCTCATGGTGTGAAATTTCAGTTACTTTTTTCACATTTTTTTTACATTGTTGAGCCTAAATGTTAAAACACAAAACCAAACATTATGTTTAGAAGGAAATGTAGATGGATGCTTGATTCTGCTACATGTGATGCAGGTTTGAATAAAGCTTGGAAAATGAATTATTGCCTACTCATGACACTTTCTGAAACAACTGCCGACCATAACAATCTGTTTTCGTTAGTGCGCCGGTTGCTGCAACCGTAGGCTGCACAAAACACGAACATGGTTGCCCATCATGCATTGACTCCAGTTGGCTTTGGAGAGTGATTAATCCATCCAATATGGTGCCAATGCTGTTGCTCTCCAGCTCCCATTGGTGCCTCTACGTATAGGGAGCCTAAAGCCTGGGTCACACGGGAGGTGGAGGCAGACGCAACACACCATCATATAAAATAGAAGTCATTATAGTTAATGAGATTGGGCACACGGGGAGCGTCGCGCCGTGTCCCAGATGCACCACGCTGAGGCACTGAAGATAGGCGCCAGTCCTATCTCAATCGCTGCAGCTTTTAACAACATTGTGGAGTAATTTACAACAGACATTACGAAGCGGAACGGCTTTACGGCACAAACTCAGCTGCAGGTTAGATAACTTTAAAGTACTATTGGTCTTAAAATATTCAAAAAATAGCGTGCTTACCCATTTTTAATGAATTTCAGTCTCACAAAACACGACGGCAAGTCTGATCACGTATAAACAATAGAGTCTTGTGTGATGTTGTGACTATCGCGCAACTTTCCAAGAAGCGCTAAGCAGCGCGGCGCGTCCTGTGTGACCACTATACTTCTCGAAATCTCGGCGCAACGTAGCGTGGCATGTCCCCCTCCGGTGTGCCCCAGACTTAAGTCTCCTCCCTTTCCCGTCGGCTCATGAGTCCCTGGAAGAACAAAAAAATGAATTCAAGTCAACGGGACTAAATCTATCAAATCAAAGATACTTCATTAATCCCAGACGGAAATTAGAGTTTCAGTACACACAATTCAGAGATCAGACATACATGGGCAAGACACGTGACAAGAATTGGTGACTGTGGTCATTCGCAACCCTGAGTCGCGCTACCTTAATAGAGATAAGAGGGGTTTACATGAGGATTGGTTCAGGTGGAGGGAAAAAAAGGCACTTCAGAGTTACCCTCCCACCAGGAGGGCAGCTTTGCTATGCAAAAAAAACCCACCTCAAACCTATATGCAACAGACTTCAGACAACACACCATAAGTGTCCACTAGGTGGGGTGGTGGGTTGGGACTATCCCTACTTCAGTTCCTGCAGCCACGATAAGCAGCGCATGTAGCCTCAGTGTGAATAGAGGGATATGTATGTATGTTATATATGCATATTTAACTTTATAGATCTAACTTAGATTCTGAATAATTATCTGTGACATAATCTTTCTAAGTTGACTGAATGCAAGCATTATTTTGGATTCAGCTGACAGATCACCGCCATCTCTGATGGTCAATCAATGAAAAATTCAAACTTTA